GGGCGATACATTAAGTTTACATGGTTGCGTTGTGGATAAATTCACCCCATCTGAACCATCTGCATGTCTTACAAATCACCACGGTAATTATTAACGTATAACCAGCACCTACTTCATATCTCACTTGTAATCATCTCCGTTTCCCTCTAATTGAATCACCTCTATCTACTTACAAATTACCGACTAAGTGAATTATTTATTTGTTCATGAAACAATGGTCTTCTCTTAGCCCTTGGATTGACATTTTATCATTTTTACATCGCAAGCAACCAACCTCTTCTTGCCTGATTATGTGATAGCCACTGGTATCCAGAATCCCTACTTCCCTGAGAAAAAGGCATAAACTCGATGTACAGTATATACTCTAGTGTCAGTTATATACGTGAACAGATCTAAGTAGTATGTAGCAAAGAAAGAAATTCTCGATACTCTCATGGATACAGCTACTCCACATGCTAGAGTAAAAATGAAGAACATTTGCATTTTTCAAATTATTTGTTTTATTTGACGTAGCCAATGTAACTTAAGGGTCATAAAAAACGTACTAATTTGAAATAGCGTGACAATTTGGCCAAATATCGTTTAATAATGCCCGAAGAAAATAAACCCATAAAAGTTAAAATTATTAGCATGGGAGATGAAGACACGGGAAGGTATGTTCTCACTTCTGCTAAAATCCAGACATGTCTGATCAAACGGTTTTGTGAGAAACGTTTTGTTTCAAAGTACTTACCAACGATCGGTATAGACTATGGTGTATTCAGGTAATGTTATGACATAAACTTATATGGCAGAACCAAGGTAGGAAACAATGAGCTACGCGTTGATATATTTGACATGTCTGGAAATCCTTCATTTACGATATTCGAAATGAATTCTATAAAGATACAAATGGTGCTATTTTGACTTTTGACGTAACAAACAGAAAAACTTTTGAAAATCTGATTCGGTGGGTTCATGAGTTGCATTTCGAATCCGGTGAAGCTAATTCGGTTTCATCTCCCGTCATAATTCTTTGCGGTAACAAGGTATTGCTACATTTGTCCATTACTGAGTTTACTTAAATTTGTCGAACCAGTTTTTTTTTCAGATTTAGCTTATTTTACCTCATTTGAGTGCAAATATATGTCATGATTTTTGGTTATACGATTTCACCCCGTGTATGTGATACCTAAAGTTAGGCGTGCTAGGTTCGGCTTATATAAAAGAATGATCACGTCAATTTGTCGGGAAGTTGTTTCGCTTTATGACTTTCCATCCTTTTTCACAATTTTTACATATTTCTTTATGCCACGATGTGATTGGCTCGATTTGTCTTCTCAAGGAATTCAGTAAGAATTGATGTGTTTCAGCACATTGACACATAGAATAGCTGTTATATAATATGATCTTATTGATTGTGTTAGTAAGTTAATGTTTCCAGAATGCTTATCTATACTTTTTTGACGCTTTCTATAAGTATCATAATTCTTTTGAACATATTTTACTCACTTATCTTCACAAAGTTTATCTTAAGGAATAAGTAAAATACACAGTCAGTTAGAAAAGTTGGAACTCACTGATGCACATATTGTAGTCATTTTCGTGATGAGAAAGGCACTTTTCAACATGTTTCTACATCAACGCTTATAATTATATCGAACAATCCCTGTTTAACTTAACGGAATTGTTTTTTTTGAATATAATTGTGTTAACTCTTTTCAACAAGATCAGTCTATAAAGGTTTGTTAGATTCGAATGTAATTGTACTCCGCAGGTTGATAAAGCGCCAAGAGCAGTGAGTTATTATGAAGTATCTGAATGGGCAGCAATACATCAGTATCCATACCTTGAAACATCCGCACTTAGTGGTCATGGAGTTACAGAAACTTTTAATGTAAGTATCATTTTGAAAAATTATTAAGCTGAGTCTTTTGTCAGGTTTATATTGGCTACATACAGATCAGTTATGTGATCTAGTTTTATTTAAAAATGATATTATTGTGTGGCAGCTTCTTGTGTGTATATAACTTATTCATTATGTGTGGTACTAAACAAGTTGAAATCTTTCAACATTTTTTCCTTAAATTAAAGTTCTGATGCATTGATATATAATTTAAGGATGAATTATAAACTCTGTCGCTCGCTACTTACCATAGATTTATACAACAGTTTGTGTCAAAAATGTCGTATAATGAGACTTTGGTTTTACAATACTGATGTAGAGTAAATGTATTTTAGTCTTGAGAATTTATTTGTTAGATTAATTAATAATTTAAATTACACATCTATGTTACCTGGACATCAGGCAGAAAATTTGTAGTTCCTTACACCCTCTGATGCATTTAACTGATTTAGTCTCATTACGTTATTACGTTGTAACTTTAATTAGCGTTCTACAATAAGTCTTGTGATTATTAAGTGTCTCAATTCATTTACTAGGGTTTCATAGTTCCAGTTTGTGTTTTTAGCACACTTTATAAAGGTCGATAGTAATAAATCTCCAGTTTTCTTATTTTGCTTATCATTAGTTTTTATGTGTTGATGTATGGTAACACGCAAATTTCCCATTTGTCCTACATTAAACCACGCAGTAATAGTACCGTAAGTGAGTAAATTCTGAAACACTTACTCTAGAGCTAGAGTAAGTTAAAAGTGCACTATTAATAATGTCTTTAAAATATTTCATTTATGTAATAAAGCCCATGGATTATCATTGTCTGACTTGAAAATGCAGTGTTTGTAAAGGGATGCTAGCCAGTAATTCGTGTTGTGACCTCCTGTAAAATAAACCACCTCTTATTTCAACATGTAATATTGTTAGAATTAGATACGGAACAGGGATTGTTAGATAGAATGGCGTAAGTCATAATTTAGTTACGAGACATATATTCAAAGTTGGTAAGCATGTATTAAACAAAATGATTCAGTTGAAACAAAATGAAATAAGGTTCTAATGCTTTATTGAGAAGTAATAAAAATTTCTAAGGCGTAATAACTTTGGCCCACCATAACCGTTGGTGTACTCAACGCAATCATATATTTGAATTGCAACTACCGGAGAAATTTGAGCATTTCACTCAATTTACGACTTATCAATTGAATTTACTTGAATCTAAGAATTAATTCCCATACTCACACTTGAATTCAGCATCTCTCTCTTCAAAGTTTAACGCTTCATCCCTTAAACAAGTAGTGCACATCATTACCAACTTGTTCAATGGATATGATACTTATTAAAATGATTCGCTCAAAATGTACATATGACAACAAAGACTGATTAGAATTCATTCTTGAAAATCAAAAACGGAAAAATACAAACATTTACGAAGAACTAATGTAACCAGTTGCCAACGACTCAGTTGCGTAACCATTGAATGTACTTCAGTTACCCTCAATCAGACATAATAATTCAAGTCAGCTGTGTACTATTAATTATGGCTGAACTTAAATTTCTGAGGAAATACATGTCAACAATTGGTTAACAATTTGGTTTAAATTTTCGAAGGGATAAATATATATTTGTGTAAATGGGTTGTGCAAATACTCTTGATTTGATTGGCTAATAACTTTATTGACTGGTATTAGTTATCCGTGAAGAATAAAAATGTAAATTATATCAAAGTTGTTTGTTCAAGAAAGGACTGTGTACTGACAGAGACTAGAAATATAAACAACAGGAATCTACAAATTAGTCAACCAGCCATATGGAATGTAGAACCCGACACAAATGTTCATTGACTCAAGTTGCTGCACAACATCAGTACAAGGTAATAAGGTTATCAAGACAAATATCAGAGTATTAGAAGTAACTTTAATATTACTGGTAATAGAAACAATTAAATATTGGATGAAGGAAAAAAAGTACTGAGAGATTTCAGAAATCAGAGTCTAACGGAAGATAGAATGAATTCTCACACACCATTGACAACAGTTTCGATTCCTATCAACCACTGGTTACAATAATCTTGTGAAGCCCAAGGAGGTAGTCTATACCCATTAACACAGCTCAGTCCAATGATTAATGATTTTATGGACAAGTGACATATTTTAGTTTTACCACCTTAGCTTTCTTCAAACCTAATCCTACATCATACAGTATCGCCTGTTGATGTACAGAGTGACTGAATGTATGTAACACAAGTTTCGACCACATCAGTTGTTGATGATCCACTATCTCATCAGTCGATTTGTCACCTCTATCTAGTTATTTATTTATTTAAACACATAAACATTGGTACAAGGAGACAGCAAACAGATATGCGTCACACAGGTCACTTGATTTAGGTTTGGATACTGACCGGGTGCCCAAACCGAAGCAGGTGGTTTCCTGAGGGGGCCACAACCGGAACCTACGAACTAAAGGTCTGATCCCCAAGGTAGTGGAGCAACGTAAGGAGATGTAGTCACATTGTAGCCGGTGACCAACAACTGGATCATACGCCATTTGTTTCCTTAGGATCCTTGAGCCCATTTACATCATCGGTTTGGTACCAGGTTTTTCCGTATTCTCTTAGGTAGATCCTCCATATCCACCAACCCGGTTAGAGCATCGGACATTCGCTTTTCATCCTCCTAACTTCGTGATCCTAGAAGACAGTGAGTAGGACTTCCCTGACAGTGGTTGTATGCACGTGACCATGTGAGAGCATTTCGAGAGGTAGAGCTGAATCTCTCCACTCTCAGCCCTACCTATTACCCTACCCCTAACCTCGGTGGTCCCAAAGTACACGAAGAATGCCTTAACGACCAAGTTTACTTTAAATTTGCTAATTTGAAATATGCGCATAATCCATTTTTCCCCCTTTTGGTTGTATATTTAAAACAAATCTTTTTTCCAGACTTTATTTGAAAGTATTATTAATCCAGAAATCTATCAATCTTATATACCGAATCATGTTCATTTTCATCAAAATTTAAATAATCCTACATATCAAGAAACGAATTCCATACATCATAATTCAACAATGAATATTCCAAAATCTAATTCAAAATTGAATCATTCATTTAAACAATTCAATATGTCTTCTTCACCATCATCAACCGCTTCATTTAAATCAAATCAAAATGAACCATGTAAAATGACATATCAAAATCTTTTAGAAATAAATCGTATTAAAAATGCTAAAAATAATTATGAACGATTAGGGATTAGTATGACAGCTAGTAGGTAAGTTTGTTTAGAGTTAATTAAGTAGTAAATATATATTTGTCATGTTCTTTAAAGTGATAAATAATGCTGATATTGATGCCTCTTTTATACTTTCACTTCAACCATCAGAAACATTTTAATCAGTCAGTCAGCTACAATGTATGATCAGGCATATATATGTGTCGGTTTAAGTTGTCACATTTCATAAGCACCACAAAATGAATACTGAATTCATAGAAGTAGTTACTTCAATGGTAGTAATTTATAAAAGAAACATTGACATAAGATGGTTTACCTACCAGTAGAGAGTGATCCTGTAATACGATTGAGTAAATAATCATATATATTACGTATGCCTGAACACCGATCACTACGACACTCAATGCTGACTAGTGTTGGAGACAGATGGAAGAAAGTTAAGGGCGACCAAACCAAGAAGTGGCATCAGTCCAGAAAATCACTAACTTCAGGTTTGAGCCATGTTGGTAGATGCAGACTACTTGATTGGGGTCTGCGCCACTACCGTAACTAATAGTTGAAGACTCTGGGTGATATGGCTCAGAATCGATCATAAGGGTTTAGGTGTATACACTATTTCTCTTCCCTTAAACCATCGGATTAAAATTACTTTATGCCTTTCTTTCTCCGAACGAACTATGCTTTTTACTATATCTTATTCTTATATGCAATCTTTCTTTTACATATTACTACCACTGAAGTAACTACTTCTATGAATTTGGTGCTCATCTTGTTGTGCTAATGAGGTGTGCCAACTTGGACCGATGCGTATAATTGCATATATATATAGTCTAAAAAATCACTCATTCAATCAGTTGGTTGCTTATTAGTGGAGATCCAACGATTGGATTCAAAATTTTCGGCTTCTAGCCTCAGTTTGTTTGAGCACACTGACAAGAAAATATACTTTATAAAAAAGAATTTCAGAAGTGATGTTCGAGATAAGCAGTTGCAGTGTCGGTTACTATGTTAAGCCCACATAACTTATTCTGTCTTCTGGCCAGGCCAATTCATCCATTCTTCTTGAGTCAAGTTTTGACTTTGTTAATTATTTTCTTATCAGCCTTGACGTTTCTTATATGAGCGTATGTGTGTTCACTTCTTGTCCTGTTAATCACATGTCTGTAACTTATTTTTATTTGGTTATAAATATTGATTTACGCCTAATTAAATGGAGTTGGTTCACATACATTCTCCACCGCGCATCACTTCGTTTCGCATCGTTCTTTAGATCGTCTGCCTGAATCAATGATTGTGCAAAGTATACGTATTCAACAATCCATTCTCATATTTGACTTATTTAATTCCGTTATTCGCTAAAGCGAGTTAAGTTGATAATTATATACGAGGATAGCCAGGATGTATATTTCAGTAACATTCATTCGTACGATCTAATTGGAGTCAGATATAAGGTCACTAAACAGTATTTGATTTTGATCTTTATTATACTACATCACATTACTAATATATCATAACATCCTGATTGAGTATAAGCCAATAGATATAAAGTCTTTCATAGAAAATCGGTTTCATATCTTCATTTATTTACTTAACTTTCTCAATGTTGTTTAGCATTAGATATTTTGATAAACAGTGAAGTTATTGATATATTGATGATATAGTTATATTACTAAACAATTTGCGTTCGACCTAAACGCTGTTTACTTTGTTGTTCTTTTTCTTTTATGTTATGGAGTTTTTCGATTCTGCAATAGATATACACGTTTCTTATACGCTGACCCAATCCGCTAAGCGAGTGAGAATGACTTGGAAACTGTGACTGAGTAACCGAATTAAGTGTACACAAATCACTGGTATATACCTATACCCTTCTGACACTGACAAGAACATGGAAACTAAGACCATGACTCAGTGCATAGTTGGTTTAATCTAATGAAGTGCCTTGTTTGTATACTCTCATCTACCATTAGGCTTTGATGGTAGCGTGTGAGCACAGGAACTGGATGCTTGGACTCACCGAGTCTATCATCTGTGAAAAATAAAAATGTTAATTCATTTTTCTATTGTTTGTTTAAATCTTCACATTGATGTTTAGGACTGCAATTGGTCAGTCTCTTATTGGCATTTGTGCATATTCTGCGTATTGCCTCGATATTGCGTTAATTCACAAGCATTATAAGCAAAGGTGGATGGTAGGTAGCAGTGGAATCTAGGACACAGGTTTCGTCTTATTTGGGACTCGTCAGTTGGATTAAAACTTCACACCATTGCACAAGCGGGTAACCGTTTGTACTCAGTAGCTAAATGGATAATGAGATGGAATTTGAAGTGAACGGTATTGGATTCGAGTCCTTGAGTAGACGTCAATTCTGCTATGTGGGTACATCCGGCTGACGAGACGCGCGTCCCAGATTCCATTAGCAACTGCCATCCATCTTAGCTTAAAATAAAATGTAAATATATATCATGTTACATTAGAAAAGAAACATTAGAGCTCAATCAATAAAGAACACTAGCAGTTACTTATCAAGGATTTTTTCTTTACTTATTTATTGATCTTAAGCGAAGAAATTCAAAAAGCATTTCGTCGTTTAGCCTTTATTGTACATCCTGATAAAAATAATACTCCAGGAAGTGAAGAAGCTTTCAAAATATTGGTAAAAGCAAAAGATTCTTTACTTTCATTATCAAATGGATCCAGTTGGTTCAGTTCTAAAGTTTAATTGTAGCGAATGTTTTGTTTTCCTCATAATAATTTGTTATTATTGACATTTCATAAACTGTGATACTTCTCGTGAATGACATCCTTTCTATGAATTATATGTAGGTTTGATTATTTTGATATAAAATATTAACTACTTGTAAGTAGAACAATTTATTTTGCTAAATATTTCCCCCATGATTTATATATATACTTGTTATGAATGAAGTCTATTTGTACACTGAATATCAACAATACTTATTCGTAGATTTTCAACTTCATACTCATTCGGAGATTCGTATTTGGATTACCAGATAGAAGTTGTTGTGATATACCATACTTTAAAGTATTACCGACCACATCTAAAATTTGAATTGTAGGTTACGAAGAATACTTTTTTGACATTAATGAATCTATACTGTTATATCTAGTGAATTAACCAAAGTGTAGTATTGTCACTAGGTACATGGGGTTCAATAAGCATTTCCTAGATAGTGTGAGATCATTTAGTTTCCACTGAATGGTGTGAGCAGGATTGTAAGTATTGGGACGGCTTCCGAGAATTACGACGGAGCCTCCAGAGACCTTTAAGGAATCGAAGAGTTTCCATCTGATCAGAACGTGATGGAGCTTTCGAGAATATCACTTGGCATGCTACTATCGTACAGTAACATAGCGTGCCTCTTCGCGGATTGGTTTAATTATAATGTTGATCTAGCAAACGCTAATATCTATAAATATCCATGATCTTCTGCACTTCTCCAATCTTCTGATTTGTGACTATGAGGTTCTATACGTTCGGGTGCCGTAGTTGTATATCGTATTCGACGTTAATCAAGTAGCGAACTTAACACTAAGAATAGAACAATCTGAAATATAGCTTGAATATTAATTAGACCTTCCTTATGTGAAGTGATATTCAGTATGAAATCATTTGAAAATATACTAAATGTTAAAACATCCACAACTTCAACTATTCTTTAGGATAAACTTTAAACCAATTACTTCAGAATTAACTTATTGGATTGGGGACATGTGTTATAATTTTAGTTAATTGACGACATAACAAAACTTAATGTTTATTCTGAGATGATGGAGAAGATTTGTAGCTCAAGTGGATGATTTTGATGAAGTTTTATTCTTTGAACTAGATCGTTTGATCGTGCAGCTTTCGTCGTTTCTCTGAACATCATCATCAGCAGCAGCACAAACTTCAAGTAGAATATAATTTTAATTGTTAATTGATAAGTTATATAATATCCCGACCGTCGTTGCTACCTTGACGTGGTGGTCGTGCTTGCCTATCGTGATGAAGCAACCGAGCTATACTGGCTGGAACAACCGTTCCTCAAGGTCCTACCATGTCAGACAGGTCGGTTGAAGAGCGGTAAGACTAAAAGCAACAAACCTAAGGTCCGAAGGCGAAGTCGTACTGCTCACTGTACAGAGGTGTGACAGCAGTAAGGTGTTTCCTTCAGACAACCAGCATGATAGCGATGCTGCCTTCTCACAAGGAGGGGTGGGGTTAGAAAATGTCGACTCTAAAAATGCACACCTCGCCTTATCCCACGGATATCCGACTCCGGCGGTTAGGTCTCAACAAGTACGGACCTAACACAAAAATTACTCACAAAAAGGTCGTGTGACCGACTTCAAGCAGTTGTCCCTTGGGCACTGCGGTCACGCTCCCAAGTCACTAAGACCATGTCTAATCCAATTTCGTTTCAGGAACCTCCAGAAGAACCTCCTCCAGTTATATAATATAACTCACATACAAATGATTGGATCATTGAATAATGATCGATATTTTTGTTTATCTAGTCTTTTAGTGTTCATCGAATTCAATCAATCACGTACGAATATGATTATTAGTTTAAGTGACCTCAAACTTGATTGATTTATCTTAATTTGCACTCTAAGCAAGATAATAAAATAATGAGGGTTAATGTTTACTTATCAAGCTTGCCGGTGGAAAAATTTTTTATTGATGTAGGTTCCATCATTTGAGTAATACAAGTTTATTAAAGTTTGTAGATTTCACCTCCCTTTTAGTTGCTAGCAGATATAACTTTCTATAATCTAATCTTAAATGTCTAACTGAATACGCGGGTATACAGTATTTTAATTTTATATCATCAATAAGTATTTATAACAAGTCCTTGTAAAGAAAAGAGAATATGTTTATGAATTTTGGGTTTATGAAGATCATTTATTTTTAAGGTTAACAAGTCATGGACTGACCCTAGTTAGTCAAACACTGAAAGCTGAAAAGCAATAAACTGCTGTTTCACTTTAGTATTAGACTCTTCAGAAACTCACATCTACCAACCCACTCTTGGTCGGATCAAAGATTTTGATATCTCTCGACAAGCACCTAACCCTTATCCCAATGATTTACCTATTCAACCCAACTCTATAGTCACAGATGTATACTATTGAGTTCGATACTTGGACAAAACAACTGTCCAGTGTGTTTTTTTGGTTTTCAACTGTTATCTAGCTAAGATTAGTTTATGATATAAAATACAAAGATTTTCATAGGCTTCTTATATAAATTAAAACAATTTATTATCTACAAATAAAAATTGTATAATAGTTGGATTCATGAGTCAATTGAAGCTAGACAACCATGGGAAACCTAGAAGCACTGGACGGCAGTTTCGTTGCAGTATGGGACTCATTGAAGACAATGATGAACGGTGAAGAAATTTCGTGAATTAGTTGACATTAGACATTATTACTGTTGGATTCCAGGGCTCAGTGGTTTAGAGGTTAAGCATTCGTTTGCAAGTCCGAAGATGCTGAGTTCGAGTCCCACGCGAGGAATTGTGATTGCGCACTGTTGAGGAGTCCCATACTGGGACTGTTGTGATCTTGGATGTCTGACTTTTCTATCACGCGACTTATCAACCAATCAGGATCCGGCTTATACAATCTCCGCACTATGCCAAACCAATGACGTTCAACCGGTATGAGCAGTTTAGCGTCTTTATTAGTCCTATGTCCTCCTAACCCTTCCACCTGAGTCCAGAACACAATACCAGCTTCTGTAATATGAATCGAATCGAATCAGAGCAGATCGTTTATTTCAGACATACTCGGTTTATATATCAATCAGACAGACCACAACGTACCATAAAATAGAAAATAACATGTGTACACAAATAAGCCAAAAAGTGGCTGTGAACGAGGGGGACAGTAATTAATAGACTGAGCATAGCTTAAGAATCGTAAATCGTACAATAATAAATTATAGGTCAAAATAAAGCTTATCATAAAAGGAATATAAATATACATAGTGTAATTGTTGAGTAGTTATACAATAAGAATATTTATAGAATATTAGTCCATAAATAGCCCTTGGAAGTTACCTGTAATTTAATCTTCACCGGATATAACAGGGACGAAATCATCGTCCAGTACTTCCAGGTTTCCCATGGTTGTCTAGCTTCAATTGACTCACGAATTCAACTATTAAATTACTAAAATCTCCACAAAACCCTCTTCTAGAAATTATATATATAATTATTGATTAGTTTATTCCTTAGTTATGAATAAGTCATTAGAATTTGTTTCTTCAATATTGAACACACATTACCAGTTACTAAGTGAACATACAAGCACACATACACACACACACACACAAATATATATATCCGTTTGACTTTGTACATTAATGATGATGTCGATACATAATTGAATGTGATAAAGAGGGAAATATAAATTATGAAGGACATGAAAAATAAGGAAGGTGATAATGACAATGATATTTAGTTTAATGAACAAAATAAAAGTATGTAGCAACTGTTCATTGTATAACTATTGAATACATATTGTGGTAGATAGTGAGGTAGGTTAAAATAGATTCATAGATAAGTAGGTAGATTGGTTGATTAGGGAACACATATGTCGTATAACTTCGTTTTAATGTTGTATAGAAATAAATGGATTTGGCAAAGTATATGATTATAAAAATAATTCATGGATGTGATAAAAGTCGGTAGAAAGAATTATACAAGTAAAATAACACTAAATGAATATAAACTTCACCCCATTTTGCACAAGCAAGTGGCTATTAGGACTCAGTAGCTAAGTGGATAACGCGATAGCGTTCGGAGCAAACGGTACTGGGTTCGAATCTCACAGTGAACATCAACTCTGGAGTGCAGGTACATCCAGTTGACGAGTCTTAAATAGGACGAAATGCACGTCCTGGATTCCACTGCTAGCCACTATCCATCTTTATTTATTAACAACAAAATAAAACCAACCAGTCTAAAACACAAATGACCTCAGTCAAAAAGAAAACACTTTAAATGGGTAGCGGTTTTAAGGGTGATAGTGCTACAAACGTGCTCAAGACGAAAATTCCCAAGTCTTTGAATAGAACGTTCTTTTCAGCAATGTTGCAAATGGTGTTTTCCGGTCGATCATTGTTCACCAATAATCAGAAGGATAAGTTATCTCATCTGATTAACCGTATGTATATTTATCAATTTACCTGCTCATGTGGAGTCAAGTATATAGGTCAGTCGATGCGCACTATATCCAAAAGAATTCAGGAACACTATCCGATATGGCTGAAACGAGACGGAAACGGCTCAATAATCGGACACATTGTGAACATAAGTCACTCAATAGAAGGTGACTCTTCTTTCAAAGTCATCTACAAGATAAGTAGAAGGTTGCCAAAGGCAGTTATATTACATATTGTTAACATTTCCGAAGCAATAGCCATATGTATAGGAAAACCAGGATTGTGTCCAAAAGAAATTGGTACGAATTGTTCTCCTACCAATGATCTTAATGTCCCCGCCATGGGTATATTCCTACTTTTATGATCCTCCTGAGGAGTGGAGTGACATCTATAAAAGGACTGTAAGTGCTGCTTCGATATCTGGTGGGTTCAGTGGGACTGGTCTTTTCGATGGTTTCTTAAAGTAATCTACCTATCTTTTTCTCTGTTCTTGAATCTCAGTGATTGTCTTGCCTTTTTTGTCCTTGACTGGTCGCTCTGGTTTA